CTGCATAAAATATATCCTTGAAGAGTCAAAAAGTATATTTCATTTAGTCATTTAGTTAAACTAAGCAAAAACCCAACTTAGCATGGAGAGTCATGAGTCTACACAATAATGGTCATTTACAAGTTACACGTTTCTCTGCTGCTCATGGATATTTTATTTATTTTGGGTGATTTTTCGACATACAGGAGAGTGCCATTTTTTGTAAGAAATGAATATCTAGAAACAAAATACGTCAAAAATGGTTTGTTATCAAAACACAAAGGCTTGAACATCCCATGTTGGTCATGTCGGTAATTAGTGAAACCATAGGGAATCCTTACTTTTATAGATGCAACTATACAGTAGGTAAATACAGTACTGCCATTCTGAAATATGAATTCCAAAAAGAAGGTCTATATAACTAATCAAACATCCTTACTACACCCGATACGTTTAAAGCTATACATCAACCAAAGCCGAATATTATTGGGCTAGTAACGGCTATAATACTTATAATACTATTTTCTAGCCTGATAATATTCGGTTTTGGTTGATGTTTAAGTGTCTGGTCCCAAGGATTACAGATATGAAGATAAGATTGTTGACTGTATCAATTTAGAAATGTCATGATCAAACAAAAATTAGTAAATAAATTTTATTTTTCTGCTTTTAATCAACGATTAAGTTTAACTGACAGAGTGATCAATCTATTGCTTAAAACAATCCAGAAATACATATTATAACAAGATCAAACAGATCAATTAATATTTATCAGTACAACTGGTCATTTTTAAGTTCTAGCAAATAGAAATTTCTCAATTTCTATCATATATGCCATTCATGTGGGCCTAATCAAATAGTTTTTTTCGTTTAATGTAAAAATAAAAAAACCAGTCTAATGATCGAAATAAAAGTAGAAAAATATAATAAATTTCTAGAATAATTGAATTATTATTATATTACAAATTGTTTCGATCAATTATAATTTTCCTTCAATATGATTTTTAGATCAAATGTCTAACAGTCACTGTTCTAACGAAAACAGGTCATTAGAACAGTGATTGATTAAAATGATCATTAGACATTTGATCTAAAAAATAAATCCAGAAACTTAAATATCACAGCTCAGCATGTTATTAGCAATTAAGATTTGTTTTTAACTTTAAGGTTTCAGAATCAACTTAATAATAAAATACCATATTTTGACGAGTATAAGTCGCTGTCAAGTATAAGACGCACCCCTATTTTGAGACAAAAAATTTAGAATAACACTGTTTTAATGGGATTGTCTAAAGATATATTTTATTCATTTTTTTATTCAAGAATATGACAGATGGATGAATCAATACTTTTATTAAACTGAAATAATCGTCATTTCTTAATGTAAACTCAGAGGCCACGTGATGACAGTCAACAGAACATAGCGGCGATGACTCGTGTGTCGCCACTCTGAAAATCTAGACACTCTAGCCATTCGGTTGAGGTACTGAGAGACCATCTGCTTAATGGACCACTGCACAGGTTGGTCCCTAGAGTGACCCACTACTGTAAATAATTTCACTGTAAAAATGGTTACCTGTCAAGTATAAGACGCATCATGATTTTGAGCCCCAAAAAGTAGTAAAAAAAGTGTGACTTATACTCGTCAAAATACGGTAGTTTGTTTCAGATTTGCAAACTTATAACATATTTTAAATGTAATTTTGTATTAAAAAAAATCAAGCTTTTTAGTTTAATTAATTTTAAATGTGTAATTTAGACTATAAAAAAATATTTTATTTAAAGTTGAATATGAAAACATCAGATAAATTTAGTAACTTGCATTATATATCTTTTCAATATGGTTATTTTTTGTCTACATGATTTTTATTTAAAGTTCTGGACATGTCTACTGTTTCTATGATATTTCAATTTAAAATTTTACTGTTCAAAAAACTGTAATTTATTAATATAAAAATTAATTTCTCTAATTTGTGCTCATCAACTAATTAAAACATTGATGTTTTTAAGAGAATTCTAAAAATACTAATGTTTTTTTAATTTGATAACTAAAGTATTTTTTAAAATTTAGTCATGAATTTTTTAATATTACAGCAATTCAAATGAAACTGATACTTCTTAAACAGAAAGAAAACTATAATAATCAGTTTGTTATGTGAATTATTGTAATATCAATCCTAATAATAAACAATAGTAATGAATAGATTTGTTTTTGTCTTATCTATAATGAAGGTCATTTGAAGATCAAGACAAAACCAAATCTATAAAAAAAACATTAAAACTCTGCATAAAATAATGAATAATAGAGAGGTTGCAGTCGATGTTTTCATCTCTAAAACATGAACATTGAACGCTGCCATCTTGTAAGCCTAGAAGTTTGACAATGGCATTTAGAGCATTATTGGAATCATGCTCGACGTTCCAAATGCCATTGTCAAACTTGTAGGCTTACAAGATGGCGGCGCTCAGCGTTCAATGTTTACATTTTAGAAATGAAAACTTCAACCACAACCTTTCTATTACTGCAATTTAAAGTTAAAGAAACAGAACAAAAAATGACAAAAATATAATCTGTGTTGTGTTGTCTTTTAAGTAACAACAAATATCCTATTTATGACATAAATTGTTTTGTTTTATTTTGTGAACTTAGTATCACTAATAAAGTAAAAATATAAAAGGTTAACATTGGTCTTAAAGAAAAAACAATAATCAGCAGGGTCTTGTTTTACATAGGAATTTCATGTCAACAGACTACATAAAACATTACAGTGTAAATTTGTACTGTACCCCAATGGTCCCAGACGATTGCCTAGACCAGCAGTTCTTAACCTTTTTAGTGGTCAGCAGCCCTTGAATCTGAAAATAAGCTCTTGCACCCCCTTAAAAAATGTGTGTATATTTTTTATTTAAGAAAAAAACATTTATTGCATAAACAAATGCCATATTTATTTACAATATATATTACTACTGTATATAACATAAAAAGCAATACTTAAATTTTAATGGCTAGATTGTTGTTGTTTATTCATAATAATTCTATTAAAACGAGGCTCTTTTTTTGAAAGAGCCACGTGCAAGTCATCAGATGCATTTAAGCAATTTCTGGCTTTTGTTTTGATGTGCAAAAGTGCTGTATTCAAGATATGTAAACATGTCTCAACTAGTTTCTGTACTGCATGTGACAATGGGTGCGTTTACTTTTAGCTCCGATCTCACCCCTAGCGCGCTCAGCCTGTATACTTTCTTTTCGCACCCATGACGTCATTGCTAGCATTCCTAGCGCGCTCGGCGTGCTCGGAGAATTTACAACGAGCTTGGAGTTTGTTCAAAGATGGCGGTGTCCATTACTGTGTATACTTTTACGAGCGTGCTAGTATGACATCAGGCTGAGCTAGGTGTCAGCTCGGCAAGCTTGGAAGCTAGCAAAAAGTAAACGCACCCAATGTGACTACATTAACTGCATGTACTGACGACTGATGACAAGCGCTATGGGCTGAGAGACGTAGAGAGTGTAGAAGTGAGACGGTAGAGAATGAAGTGGGGGTGTCATGTTGCTGGATACCACGGTTTGCAGAGAACACGGTCGCCTCGTTCGTATTTTTTTTTTAATTTTTTAAATTTCTCTCGCACCCCTAGAAATGCTCTCTCACACCCAGGTTAAGAACTGCTAGCCTAGACATTTATGTAACCATTTACAATAAACAGAAAAATATTAATATGTGTTTATAACATTTTACTTGTAATTTTACTATAAATACTAAATTCCATAATAAAAATTACCCCTTCGCATACAAGGGTTAACATAACCATTTGCCATGTGTGGAAACACAGATCTGTGAATATAAATCCCTTGTAAAACAAGACCCTGAAGACCCTGTTGTACAAACTCTACAGGTTTTATCTCTTTTTAAAGGCTTCAGTAAAGGTAAACTTATTTCTGTTTCAATCATTTATATTTATAAGACGAAGCCTTTAATAAGATAAAATTGTTTTCTTCCATAATCTTTTTCAAGTCTCAATATTATTTTTGCACGCTTATTTATTTGTATGAAATTACAGGTGCAGGCTTCATTATGATAAAGTTAATATTTTTAAAATTATCAAAACCTTAAATATTTCTCTTATATAAAATCATATCTCATTTTCTCTGTTTGTTTTCATTTGTAACGGCAAATTTATTCAACACACAAAATAAAAAAATGTGCTCAAGGCTTCTTGTCCTATTCAATTATTGTAGTTCTAAAATCTCACAACTCAACAAATGTAGAACTTATCGTACAGCATTTGCAATTAGAAAAGCACAGCAAAATCAATCACTTTGAATTGTTATTTTTGTATGCATTTCAGGTAATGCTAAACAATTCTTCAGCACTCAACAATTCTTGAACAGAATAATACCTAAACACAAATTTCCACCAAATAAATACACAAATGTTTAATGTTCAAATGTTTTCGGCCACAATTTTATTGGCCCTCTTCAGGAACAAATATTTGCCTATTTACTTGCTGAAAATTTGTGTTTAGGTGTTATTCTCTTCACGTATACTTGTGCAGTTGTTGTTTTCTTGACAATTCTTTAAAAATCCCGGTAAATAACTTTAATACAAGCATCATCTATCCGAACTTGGATCCACATCAAGGACTATCGGGCATTATAAACCGGAACGTTCGACGTATTTCAAATTCACGGCCGAAGCGTTCCAATTCAGAACGCGGACGCATTTGTCAGCATTTCACTTGTATTGAAGTTATATACTGGAATTACTTTAAGGTTTATCTTGTGTATTGTGTTATACTTGTCCAGTTTGGTGAAGAGAGTGAAATTTTGTGCAGATTTATTATTAAACTCTTAACTTTTTGATAAAATATACAACTTCTTTTAATACATATTAATCAAAATGATGATCAGTGTGTGTTTTATTCTTAATTACATCATCATCATCATCTACTTAATTGTAATTAACTAATGCAACTTAATTCTTCATTAAATGCATTAACTTAATAGCACTGTATACACTTACTTATAGATTCCAACTTGCAAACAAATTTTAAAATAATTCCACGTGTTTTACTTGAGCATAGCGATCCTTACTCAAAGATAAATCTACATTTGGTTTGAATAATAAATATTAAAGGTTATTTATTATATATTTCAGGAAAAAATTAAACTTTTATAATGTTCATCACAGAGAAGCATTGTACACGCAAAAACCTAATCGCCATTCAGTGTTGCCAGATAAGATTCAAAAGCAAACCGAATAACTTTTAATTGTTGCCAGAAATAATTAATAAAAAACAAAAATAAATTATAATTAAGTTAAACATAATTTAATTTTTATGTAAAATTATTTCGTGTTTTTAATTTTAAAAATTTATTCGTTTATATTTTCTCTTTTGTTTTACCTCATTTGTTTTTTTTTCTCTTGAATTTATTTTTAGACTCGTATTGTTGTACGGCTACATTACGATGCATCCGTATCGATTACGTTTCGTATAATTATTTTCGTAATTATAAAATAATATTTATCGATATTAGAACAGTTTCTGAATGTAAAGTTACCATTAAATAAAATTTTTTTTGTATTAATATATTTTTTCTGATTGTCAATTATGAATGATTCGGGTAAATCGGTAAAATATCCCGCATGGGATGATCGTAAATGGATGAGGAATCGATAAAAAAAAACATGGATGATTTATGATAAAATTATATAATAACCGAATTTAAATTTCACTAGATATAATTTTTGTATCATTTATTTATAGAATGTAACTTAAATTAATTATATACTGTGTATTTTTTAGCGGCCGCACAAAACATTATGCCGAAATCTCTCTCTTCGGGATCTCACAGGAGGACCAGCAAGGTTTTCGGCCATGGTCAAACGTTACGAGATCCTAAAATCATTTGTTATAAATTATTTATTCCGTTGCATTCTTTGTGTATTAAAAACAACATTTGTCTTCTGTTAAATGTTATTATTTTGAAAATATAATACAATTTTTAATGTCTTTTTGGGAATCTCAAAATGTTAAGTAGCCACGTCTCTTTCGATATGCTCACCAGCGCCCGAGTGGATAAAACCACTGAAGACTGGTAGTGGTCGTGGGTTCGGGCTTGGCCAACAGTCTGGCCATGTGGAGTTTTCCGGATTTTTATGACGTTTCTAACAGGTGAATAGGTGCCAGTTTCCCATAGAAAGTCCTCCTGGGAAGGTCCCTCTCCCCTTGATACATAGCCCACATTTTTCATTGCTGTATACTAACAAACAAACTCTTTCCTTATGATCCAAACGTTTAAATATCTCAGCCACCAGGTTACCTATATTTAATGTTTAAAGTGTATACTTCAGCATGACCAGCAATCATATTTATTATGATATCTTTGAGGTAAGCACTAACACCTAAAAAATACAAATAAAACGAGCAAATATTTATTGTGAGATCGTTACAATGCCGGGTTACAATTTTTAATTTATTTTATTTAAAATACTGTATATGCTTTCCATCTCAAATTATTAGAGTCTTGCCTTTAACAATAGAGTCGTGCCTATCACCTATTAATGTGCCCGCCTATAGCTCTGGAGGACCCGGGAACGAACCCAAACGGATTAAGAAATTGCGTGAACTTTTCGTGTGATGCCACCCGGATATGTCGGGCCTCGTCCCTCACCTATATCAGTCATATTGTGAGCCTTCAGAACTGTCGACAGGCTCGATTAAAAGGCCCACTTAATGCTCATAGAGCGGATAGAGTAAAAAACTGAAACGATGATATTACGTAAAGGTGAACTAACTTAATAAATGCTTTTTAGATACCGTCCCTTCTTTCATACTATCCGCTCTGAGGATATTAATTAAGATGGCTTTCTCAGCATATCATGGATTCGGCCATTCATAAAATGGAGGCGGCCGTATAGTAAGGAGTGGCTTTATACATCCGGAATTGACCATTCCCCAAAAAATTACTTGGGTCGCTCAGCAGGATACGATTCTGGGTTCCCAAAAAGCGGCTAAACGCTTCGGCCATCCGCCATCAGTTACGTCATGGCATAATTATTAAATATAGCATAATAATAGCCCGATTATTAAAACGGCGATCGTTTTAGCTTAAAATGTTCAGTGTTTAGTGAACAAAAAAATATTCTTTAGTGAATTTCAACAATCACAGCAATTAACTTCTATTATTAAAATAAATAAATAAATATTGTTGAATAAAAAACAAAATAAAATGAATTCCAGTTGGGTAATTTCGAATCGAATGTAACGAATTTTATTTGAATTCATTGGACGTTGGTGAAATTCCATTTCGAAAGATTACTCCAGAATTTCATCTTCAAAATTTTAACTAAAAATTAAAGGAAAATCTTTGAAAATGCAAAAAGGAGGTAATTTATTTGAATTTTTGTATATATATGTATTCTATTTTTGAAACGCCGATGTTCCAATTATCTGGTATTACCCGAGGATGGCCTAAGGAATAGCCCGAAAACGTTGGTTTTTAATAAAATTATCTTGGCAACATAAGGTTTGTTGTGATTATCTAATGATTATTTGCTGAGCACATTCTGTTAAATATTAAAACGGGAATAAATTTAATTATCGGAGGTTCTTTTTAAGCATTTCTATTTAAAAAAAAAAGTTTCTGAAAAAATGGCCGTTATTCGACTATAATATATAAATATATACAGTCGACCTCCCCCTATAACACTGTTGATAATTCCATTTTATATGAATTCCATGTTGTACGAGTCACTTAGATTTTACAAATACGTGTGCCGGGCTGTGAACGGCTCACGTATTTGTAAAATCTAAGTGACCCATACAACATGGAATTCATATAAAACGGAATTATCAACAGTGTTATAGAGGGATCAACTGTATACAGTATACGAAAATGTCAAATTTGGTGGTTTTTGCAGGCGTGCACCAAACTTCTTTCTAAGAAACGTTCCTATACTTGGCTCGATACCATCATTACGAGAGATGAAAAATGGTTGTTAACCTGTATGTTAACCTAAAAATGCGGTCAAGCACAGCACAGGCCGTGCTAAAATAGTCAATGCATTAGCTCAAGGTTATGCTGGGTATTTAGTGTGAGGTTCGAGGACCAGTCCATTGAGAGATATATTACTATAACTTCCGAAATCTACTACGCTCAGCTGCAACGTTTGACTGATCCTATCTATACTAAGAAGCCACAGATGAACACTGTGCGCTTTATTCACGACAATGTCAACAAGATTGACTTAACAGAAGTTGCTTGATTTCTGTTGGGAGTTTTTTTTTTTTTTTTTCATTTCCGTATGTCCCAGATCTTATACTATTATCATCTCTTCATAATACACGTCTTAGATAAAAAGCAGTATACTGACGCGATAAAAACTACACTTGCAGAATTCTTCCAGTGAAAACTGCGTGAGTTTTATTCACCAAGAATCCGCGACGTGCCGAATCGATGGAAGAAGGTGCTTAAATTTATATATATATATTCGAAATGGGTTGATAAGAATAATAATAAGCTCAGAGCCCAAACGGTTAGGAGTTGAGAACGTACACTAAGAAGGGATTTTTCGAAATTCTTCCCCGGGGGGAGAGGGAAAGGGTTAATTAATCCTTGCTATTGTTACTTTTTGCCCGAGCAATGCCGGGCTCATTTGCTAATATAATGATAATTACTGTATATTCTTGAATAAACTACAGTAGACCCCCTATAACACTGTAGATAATTCCGTGTTATATGAATTCCATGTTGTACGAGTCACATAGATTTTACAAATACGTGAGCCGTTCACAGCCCGGCACACGTATTTGTAAAATCTAAGTGACTCGTACAACATGGAATTCATATAAAATGGAAT